CCCCTGATGCAGGTGCTCCCGTAGGTCGAACCGGACCCCAGGCGCAGGCACCGCACCGGCCCCGGCATGTGATGCCACAGCCCAGACATTGCCTTGCAGAGCAGCTCCAGCGAGGAGGCTTGCCGGTGCGGTGGGAGTGCTGCTGGGGGCAGCCAGGCTGGCCGGGGGCTCGCTGCGAAACGCAGGCAGGGCCAGTGCCTGCAGCTGGCAGTGGGCCAGGGCGAAGCCTGATGGATGAACAGACACAAAGGGCTCCGGCTCAGCCCGCAGCAAAGGTAGCTGCCTGCCTGCCCTGGATTTCCCTTTGTGCCTCTTGCTCGAGAGCCGAGCTCTTTGTGCTGCTGAGAACAATCCCTGGTTTTGGAGGAGGGAGGTGGCCCACAGAAAGGGCTGTCACCGAGCGGCTTGTGGGACCTGTCCCCTGGCGCTGCGGGCTGGCGTGCAGGCAGAGGGGCCTGGCAGGAGGCTGTGTCCCCAGCACCCCTCGTGGCACCGGTCCCACAGCGCTGCTGGAGCAGCCCCCTCCGCTGTCCCCGCAGCCAGACAAAGGCGGCACAGAGCAGAGGGTGAAACCAGAGCCCTTTATTTGTGTCTCGCAGGAGGAGGAGGAGGAAGAGGCCAGGGCAGGCAGAGCAGCTGCTGAGCTTGAGCCAGAGGAGGGGGCAGTGAGGAAAAGGAGAGCAGGCCCCAAGCGTCCCTGGGGTGAGCCTGGCTGCGCTGCCCCTGGTGCTGTGCCTCGCTGGTCGGGGGAGGAAGGCATCCTGTGTCCTTTTGCAGTTGTGGGGGGGCAGCTCTGCCGCCGGGATGGCACATCTACAGTTGGGTTATTGCTCAGAGAAACGGATCCACATTTGGGTTATTGCTTAGAGAAATGGATCCACGTTGCAGCAGGGAGGCTCCCCTGAAGACCGGAGAGCTGGGCAGGGGCTTGGTGGGGAGAGGCAGCTCCCCGTCTGCTAGTGGAAGGCACAAATTGGTACGGAGGGCAGAGAGGGGCTGTGCTCGGTGCAGCGTGGCCCCCAGCCAGGAGCACCTCTGTATGCATCCCCCCCACCCCCAGAGCTGCCCTTGGTTTGGCATAAGGAGTTAAAATCTGATCCTGGGAGAGCAGAGCGGCTGCAGGCAAGGCAGCTTCCCAGGGCCCCACCTCTGCAGGCTGCAGAGACGCCCGCCATCTCGCCTGCTGGGCATGAAAGGGGAGCAGGAGGGTGTCCTGGCTAAGGCACCGTGCGGCACTGCCGGGCTGGTGAGGAGCGGGGCCCTCTGCCACTCTGCTCACTAAAAGAGGAAGCGTCTGAGACCACGAAGAGCTGCAACAGCCAGAGGAGCAGTTCTGCTGGAGAGCCACAGGGCTCTCACAGGATGATCTTGAAGGAGCTGCAAGAGACATGACAGGTTGTGCACCTCCTCACTGAGTCACACGCAAACAGTTTGTGAGCACCCAGTGCTACAGGGAGGCAGTGTTACCCTGTGCGGGAGAGGCTCTCTGCAGAGCTAGCACAGGATGCAGTTCTCTCCGCCATTACAAGACACCTCGTACAGGGTAGCCTTGCCTTACTGCCACCAAGAGCTCTGCCCCAACACCAGCACAGCGATCAGGGTGCGTGAACCCCCCAGGCCAAGCTGTGCCACTGGAGACCACCGTACCTGGTGAAGTCCGGGGAGCGGGAGACGACATGCTGGAACTCGGAGAGGTTGATGGTGCCATCCTTGTCGATGTCAGACTCCTCCAGGATCTGGAGGGGAGGGAAAGGCGAGTGGTGAGCTCTGTGTGGCTGGGACCGTGCAGCAGCCCGTGCCCTGCCTGACAGTCCTCACATTTCGGATGAGCTGCTCCATCTCCTCATTGCTCAGCTGGGACTCCTTGCCTTGCCCCGTCAGACAGTTCACCAGTTTCTCCAGGTCCTTTCTGTCCAGCGTCCCGTCGTCATCAAAGTCTTTGAGGAGAGGAAAGTTATGTTTCAGCAGGGCCGCAGCGACCCCAGAGAGTCACGAGCACCTGCACATGGCGAGGAAAGGGCCTAGCAGCCCGAGGACACAGCAGGCTCCATGCTGCACCTCTCAGTGCACGTCATGGCGCCAAACCAGCAGTTCCCACAGGGAGTTCCTAAAGCTGCCATCCCCTTGGGCGCTCCGAGGGCACTGCCAGCCCTCCTGAACACGGATTCATCCCTGCCCCACCCCAAGGTGTGGGGACCCCAGGACATGGCATCTGCCCCCAGCGTTACCAAAGATGCGGAAGGCATAGTGAGATTTGATGTCTGAGGTAGCGGAGTCGCTGAAGACGCTCAGCATATCGAGGAAGTCTTCAAAGGACATGCTGTCGTCCCCATTGTCCGAGGTGGAGAACACCCGGCAGATCCGGTGCTGGAAGGGGTTTGCCTGCCAACACAGGAGCGGCTCAGGGCAGGGCTGGGCAGTGCTAGGACGGCTCCTGCGTGGCAGACACCGGCTGCAGGCTGCTGCCAACCCCACGCACACGCACGAGCGGGTACCCCACTCTGCCGCCACTCTGTCGCACACGGCGTGACTGTGCCTGTCCTGTGCCTCCCTGGGACAGCAAGCAGCCCTGCACAGGAGGGATCTCCAGGATCCTCTGTGGCACAGCGGGGATGAGGAAGCTGTTTGTTGGCACAGCTGACGTGCGGTAAGTGAACAGCTTCCTCAGGTGACTGTTGGAGCAGCAAGTTGAGGGCAGAGCCGCAGCACTGCAAGGGCCGCAGTGGGTAAACAGGGCCCTGCCCAAACATGCCCAGACCCAGGGAGCAGCAGCGAGTCCCACTGTCTGCCAGGCACCGTACCCGCAGCTCAGGCAACGTCAGGATCCGGCTCTTGGGAACCCGCGCGGAGCAGGCATTCTCCCTCTCCTCCTTTGGCAGCAGTTCACGGAACCTCTTGTAGGCACTTGAAGAGGCAAGAACAAGAGATGCTCTGTGGCGTGAGCGGCGCGGGAGGCAGCCCTCTGGGCACAGGCAGCGCAGGCAGCTCTTCCCACCGCTGCACAGAGGCAGACAGCCCGTTTCCCACAGCTCCCTGCCAGCTGTGTGCAGAGCTGGCCCAGGGC